CCGGGTTACAGCTATGTTTTATTGTCTGCTACTCTGACTGGGTTGTTGTTGTATATGGTGTAATTTGCATGGAACATTAAAATGACAGAATAATTAAAATTTTGGATTGATATCTCTTTGTAGAGAACCAAGTTAGTCAAGAAAATTAGCTAAGTAATGTTATTTAGTATTTATTAACACGTGCGAGGCCCTATGCCTTTCGTAAGATATGCAATAAGCATTAAAAGCTATTTTTGCCTGTGCTGTAGAGCAGAGTTGTCCTATTAAAGCCATTACTTCAATCACCAAACCTGAAGTGCTGCGATTTAGAGAGATTTAGATTAACCCAGCACACATGGCAATAATCACTGCCTACCAAAAACCAGCTGTAATCACCGCCACTGCAGTGAGTCGGAGGAACCAGGCTCCCGTCCCACCAAGGGAAGTTACACGCAAGAGCTGTGTGTCTACATACAGAAGTTGTTCAAGTATCATTTCTCCTAAATAGAAACATTCATCTGCGTTAAACTCTACGTTCTGAAAGCCACTCAATCGTCGAAGAGGCAGCTGAGGAGGAAAACTTTGAGTGACCAAAACACCCGACTAGCGTTACAGAAGTTCTCTCATCTTAGTGAAGGTCCCAAATTCACTAAGGAGATTTCGTTTCGTACAGAATACTGTCTATAGACGTGCATAAAAATTAGGAATTACCTGAATAGATGTGAGGCCTACTCAACTAAATGTATTGTTTACATTTATCCAAAATTATTTTTGTCATCAGTCATTCAGTAGCCTGGCACATTCTCCATCTTGCAGAAAACATTGCATTGGAAACTGCAGCAAGCACAAATCAACTTGCTGAATTAAGTAGGGCTGCCTTGCTAGTACTCTAATAAACTTAACACATTTATATTGCATCTACATTAAGTTCTAGTTATGCAGAAATCCCCTGGCTTCAGATTTTTACAAATCTGTATGCCAGACGTGTTCTCTTTGAAAACAAGCACAAATCACCTGTTTTGTCAAAATGAGCTCTTCTGGTCATAGTTGCACCACATCAAAATGCAATAATCCCATTATTTACCTAGATGCATACTTTGAAATGAAATAAATTAAAAAACAAAACAAAACCCAAACCACAAAGCTCAAGTTTCTTTGCAGATCCACCCTTCTGCCTCCAAACCAACCCAGACCACAAGAGTCTGGTGAAGGTTAGTATTTACTACTAAAAAGGCGAGCAAAGACAGGAGGAAATCAGAAAAACAGAGAGAGAGCTTACCATATAGAAAATGTCAAATATGTCAAAACATTCATGAATACCAACATCTCCCTCTGCACCACAACCAGCTGTAAAGGTTACTTAGGGCTAACGTTTCAGCAAGTGCAGATTATGCAGCAGTGGGTTTACTTACACATAAAAAATCAGCTACAGGTGCATCCAAAGTGCTTTTATGTATGCAGCCAGTACAGGGATTCCTACCACTAAAGAAAAGTCGGAAGGGTAAAATCACATAAACCACAAATTTTCTAGCTGTGACTACCCGAGACATAAATTCCTCCTGGCTGCTCTCTGTGTATATGACATATGCAATGAGGATAATTAGGTAAAGGACTAAGAAAGCAAGTGTTGCTGATTGCATTCCAAAACTAATAAAGCTCCTACACGGGTCTCGTGCCTGCAGTAATTCATCTTCCCAGCGCTACGTTCAGGAAAGGCCGTTGCAGAATACGTCGCGACACTTTCTTGTCCCTAAGTCACCAACTGTGAATTACATCAGAATTACTATGGACGAGCACAGTTTTATGGAACTTGAAGCATAATACATGCAAGGCATACATTACGCTATTCAGGCCCTCAGATAAATGAAGCTTAAATTAAATGTCACAAGTTGACTGCCGTGTACTGTATAAGCAAACACCTGACCTGAATTCACCCCCAGTTTGTTTGTCAAGTTTGTAAGCCCTAGCACGTTTTGGAAAATTATGCTTTAGCACAATCTTCTCATCCTTCCACATCAGGAGGAGAAAGGTGTCCGGCTCCGGAGAGGGACAATGAGACAGTCCACAACGTAGTAACTGCGTGGGCTTCGCTGGAAATAGAGATGTGACTTTTAGATAAATAAAGCAAACAGACTCCATTCTTATGCATCAGTGCATCGAAGGAGTAACTCTGTAGAAGACAGTGCAATTGTACAAGCAAGAAAGTTAGGTTCAATTCAGCCCAGCGGCCTGATAATGAACTACAAAAAAGGAAATCCTGCGGGAACAAAACAGAACAGGTTTTGTCTGCCTTCTCACACCAGCCAAGCAGAAAAAGCAGTAACAAATTTCCTAATCGGCAGGGAGCTAAAATAATTAAGACAGTTACTAATCTGAAATATTGTAAGCCTGAAGAAGTGAAATCTTCTAATAAATCCTCCCGTTGATACTACTATTTAAAAATTACTCCTTCAGCTCCATACTCTGTGTTGAGCTTCCACTCCAAACATTTCTCTAAATGTCTCTATACAGCGCTTCTTTCTTTCTTTCCTTCTCTCTCTTTCCTTCCTAGGGCTCTGCAAAAGAGGGACCCCAGCAGCCTCCTCTCTCGGGCAGCACAGAGCCCCCAGCAGCCGGTCCCCCCCCAGCTCGCCCTGCCTGCTGAGGGTGAACACCCTCAAGAGGAGCGAGAGAGCCCCTGGAAAGGTGCCCTCCCCTGAATCCTACCCAAACCCATCCTGGATGCTCCCGGCCAGGCAGGCAAGCGTTCCTCCCAGGGTTTGGCACCGCTGCCCGGGTACCCCGGCCCTGGCCGAAGCCCACCCGGAGGGATGCGGAGTGAAGAGCTCGGAAACCTTGGCAGGCGGGAGGGAAAAGCCAAGGCAGGTGTAAAATGGCTGCCCTCGGAAGGGCAGCTCCTGCTCCCCCCGCAGATGTAGAGGATTAAGCCTGTTAGAAAAGTTATTACCAAAGACCCCGAGGAAGGCGCTGGGGGAAACCGAAAGCGGGCGGAGGGCTTCACCCAAGGGTTAAAGTCGCGACGACTTCAGCCCCCGTTGCCCGTGGCAATACCCACCCCCGGACCTCGCTCAGCCTTAGTTAAGCAGCGCCGAACTCCTTCGTCCCGCTAATTACCGCCGCACCCGCCCGCCGCGGCACCGGGGCTGCATCCCCCTTCTTACAACTTTTTTTTTTTTTTTTTTTTTTTAAAAATTCCTCCCCTAACCGAGTCACCCCCACGGACCCAAAGGGTCCCTTTCGGCCATCACCGCTCCAGCGAACAACCGCCCCCCACATCCCCCCCAGTTTGCACCTCTCCGCAGCAAACTGGGGGTGCGGGTCCGGCGGCGATGGGGCTGCGGTCGGCGGCTCAGCCA